CAGTCAGTTAAGCGTCTGCCTTCGGCTCGGGTCATGATCCCAGGGTCCTGGGATCGAGTCCCGCATCGGGCTCCCTGCTCCTTGGGAGCCTACTTCTCCCTCTGCCTCTCTCTCTCTCTCTCTCTGTCTCTCATGAATAAATAAATAAAATCTTAAAAAAAAAAAAGATTTTATTTATTTATTTGAGAGAGAGAGAATGAGAGATAGAGAGCACGAGAGGGAAGAGGGTCAGAGGGAGAAGCTGAGCAGGGAGCCCGATGTGGGACTGGATCCTGGGACTCCAGGATCATGACCTGAGCCGAAGGCAGTCGCTTAACCAGCTGAGCCACCCAGGCGCCCTCTGGGTGTTTTTGATTAGAGGGCCAGACAGATTCCAATTCAAAATGATTTGGCCAGTGTTCAGGACTTTCAACTCACCCTGCAAGACTCAGGACCCCCCAGGCCTCCTTCAGCTCCAGCCCCTGTGCCAGGCCTGGCTGCTTGCCGTACTTGCAGGCTTTCAGAAAGTGTGTTCCTTGCCTCTCTTGAGGCCCAGGCAACCCGGTGCCCTTGCCCCCCAGCACCAGTGTGAGCTTTCGGAGGTAGGATTCATGGCTCAGTGCTCAACGCTGAGCTCAGTGTCTGACAGATGGTGAATCCCAGTTACAAATGCTCCGTGACTGAGTGTGCTTCCAGTGTTTCTCTCCGCCAGCCTTTTGCCCGTGACCTGACTGTTTCCCAGCTTGTTATCCTGGCTAGGGAAAATGACCTCCATAGTTCTCCTGCAGGGGTTCCGGCCCTGACCTGGGTCGTTTTTAGCTGCACAGAATGGGTTCCTTTTCTCTCCACCTCATTGAGTTCCCTCCTCCACTCATCCTGTGGCCAGTCTTGAAGGGGATTCCACAGGAAAGCTGAAGGTAGTTTTTTTTTTTTTTTTTTTTTGCATATTGAATAATGTAGGTTAGTCCTTGGTGTGTCTGAAGGAGACTGAATGGTTAAGCTTTGCCCTAGTCCACAATAAACAGGTGTCCCAGGAAGCAAGAAATTGGGAATGATTTGTAGCACACATTTGTCCTTTAATTTTTTCACCCTTTGTGGGTAATTCCCCACTGGAAGAACTTTGGTGGGGGATAGGGCTCTCCTCCAGGCAGAAGAGGGGAGGCAGGTGACCGTGGTCCAGCCAATCAGATGTTCTCACCCCTGACTCTTCCTCTCCATGGAGTGATGCAGAGACCCAAGGATATGGGAAATCAGTGGAGGGGTGGCTGTGCTGGGGCAAGTGGCACTGAACGGTGTGACCTTGGCTGGGTTTTTGGCTCCTCAGCCCCCTTCTTTCCTGCCACCTCTTCACCCTAGTATCCTTCCAACAAATCCAGTTTCTGTTCTGTTAGCCAAAGTCTGTTTCCAGTGCTTGCAATCCAGATTGACATAAACCTATTTTATGTCTGGAGGAGGTAGTTTAAATAAACTGGGGAGCATCTGTAAGGTGGAATACTACACTACAGTTCAAAAGGGTAATGGCAGATCTATGTGTACTGACATAGACCTCCAAGATGCACCCATAAAGATAATATGTACAATATATCACAATTTATCTAAAAATTAAGGGGCACCTGGGTGGCTCAGTTGGTAGAGCATATGACTCTTGATCTGGGGGTCATGAATTCAAGCCCCATGATGGGCATAGAGATTACTAAAAAAAAAAAAAAAGATTAACTGGAAAAAAAGAAAAGGAAAGAAATGCCTCAAGAGAAGAACTTTGCTTTGTTCACAACTATATTTCCAGGCCTAGAACAGTGCATAGTAGGCATTCAATAAATATATATATTTTAAAGATTTTATTTATTTATTTGACAGAGAGAGAGAGACACACAGCGAGAGAGGAAACACAAGCAGGGGGAGTGGGAGAGGGAGAAGCAGGCTTCCCCCTGAGCAGGGAGCCTGATGCGGGACTCGATCCCAGGACCCTGGGACCATGACCTGAGACGGAGGCAGACGCTTAACGACTGAGCCACCCAGGTGCCCTAATAAATATTTTTTGAATGAATGTACTGTAATAGAAAAAGATCTGGAAGGACACATATTAAACTGAAAGTGGTATTTTCTTGGAGGAGGGACTAGAACATAGGGATGGTTGACAAGGGAGATTTTGTCTGTATTATTTAAAAAATTTTTTTACAAGGGAAACATCTTCCTGTGTTATTTGTATAATTAAACAATATAAAAAGGTGTTTGAAGTTCGTTGGGGGTAGATAGATGGCTGTGCAATGACATTTGTGGCAGACTCAAATCCATGCCCTGGATCTTAAACCATCCTTTGGAGCCCTGGCCTTCTTCCCTTCTCCATATTTCTGAATTCCTAGGAGTCTTTTCTCTGCTTTAATATTTCGTCCTTGGTAATTCTAATCTGCCTTCCATTGTATGTGACTTATGTGTTTTCGTTTTATCTCCCTGAGGCTGTAACTCCTTGAGGGCTGGGGCCACTTTCCTGTGACCTTTTGTTCAGCCAGACTGTTGGAAACAAGATGACTTTCTGAACTTTTCATGAATACCTGCTGGACGGCCATGCTTATCACTAGGCTGGCAATCAGTACCTCGATGATTTCAGGGGAGCCAGGACACCCTTGCAGAAACAGGGCAGGCTTGCTGGCTGGGGAGTACTTTTTTATTTTATTTTATTTTTTTTAAAGATTTTATTTATTTATTTGACAGAGAGAGACAGCAAGAGAGGGAACACAAGCAGGGGGAATGGGAAAGGGAGAAGCAGGTTTCCCGCGGAGCAGGGAGCCCAATGCGGGGCTTGATCCCAGGACCCTGGAATCATGACCTGAGCCGAAGGCAGACGCTTAACGACTGAGCCACCCAGGCACCCCTGCTCTGGGAGAATTATTATCCTCATTTTACAGAGGAGGAAAAGGAATCAGAAAGTTAAGTAAGTTGTTGGTCACACAGTTACAAGTAATGGAGCTAGGATTTGAAAGTAGGCTTACTGCTCTTAATACTGGGCTGCATTGCTCCAAACATTAAGAACTTTTTATAAAAATGTCATCCAAACAGATAAACCAGAAAACGGTGTTGTGTGGTGTTCTACTTGGTTGTAGCAGTAATACTTTAAAGTTTTGAACATTTCTTCTGTGTGAAAGCATCAGGTTAATCCAATCAGTCAGTCAGTTGATGCTGGGTATCAGGGGGCTGGGACAAAAACTTGTTCATACTTTGGAGAAATCCTTTGTAGAATTTGAGCCTTGTATTCCTTGCTTTGTATATTTACCAAATATGCAGCCTGGATTTTCCAAGGTGGTCTTGCGTTCAATGAATAATTTCACTGGTACATGTTTGTTGAATTTTGTGTTTCTTTTCATGTATTTACTCAGTAAAGACAATCTGTTAAACATAAAACACAGAATAAACATAAAATAAAGCAATTTTATTTTGACACTTTAATCAAATTTTTAATATGAATTCATCGATTGAAATAACCTATTAGAACATGTGATTCAACTTTTATTTTGGATCATATCTGAGGACTTATTTATTCATTTGTTCAAAAACTATTTATTGAAAGGTCACTATGTGCCAGAAGCCATGGGGAGCAAAATAAGATGTCGTCTCTGCCCATGTGTGGTAGGAAGTCTAGTTGGGAACCCTTACATAAAATACATAGTCACACAAACAACTATAAATTTTAAGTTGTATAAGAGTTATGAAGAGTGAGTGCAGAGTGCTCTGTGAAAGCGTAGTAAGCAAACTGATTTATACAGTGGGAACCATGGAAGCCATCCCAACCAGTGACCTTTAAGCTGAGATCTGACCAATAATAAAGGGAAAATGGGCCGGCCAGAAAAAGCAAGTGCAAAGGCTTGAGGCAGGGAAGTTTGTTGAGAAACTGAAACGCACGTGGGTAGAGCTTAGTGGAGGAGAATGCTGGTAGAACCTTGGGTGAAAGCATGTCAGAAGGAACCACAGGAAAAATATCCCTAGAAAAATCCAGCATGGTAAAATAGTACAGAAAAAACCTTAATGGTTTAAGTTTACAATGTTCTCACATCTGTTGCCTCTGTTAATCCTTACCAGAAGATCATGAATCAGGGAGGGCAAGCATAATTATGATTATTTCTATCACTGAACATTCAGGGACAAAGTTATGGAGATTTTGGTTCCTTGTTTCAGACCAGAGAGGCAAAGCCTGTGGGTTCTCTGGGTAGCCGGAAGGGAGCGAGTAGAAAGAAGCAGAAGTGACCCACCGCTATGCTTGTGTGGCTGTCTGAAGAAAGCTGGCTGCAACGACATGTACTAGTCAAGTACTTTTTTTTTTTTTTTTTAAAGATTTTATTTATTTATTTGACACAGAGAGAGAGGGAACACAAGCAGGGGGAGTGGGGGAGGGAGAAGCAGGCTTCCCGCGGAGCAGGGAGCCCGATGCGGTTCTCCACCCCAGGACCCTGGGATCATGAACTGAGCCGAAGGCAGACGCCTAACGACTGAGCCACCCAGGCGCCCCTAGTCAAGTACTTTTTGATTGTCGCGCTGTACCTACTCTTCTAGGTATTTCTGTGTCAAGACAGAAAACGAATCTTGTATTTAGAGTTGTTCTTGAAGTCAATTTCAAATTCGGCGGTTCTGCAATTCTTAGATTTCACATCCGGACTTAATTTGAGCGTAGGCTGGGGATTTCTGACCAGAACCTTAAAAAGTGGGTGGAATCGGAAAGGTTCATCAAAACAAGAAACTACAACTCCCAGCAGGCCTCAAGGCTGGGTCTTCTCCCCAACCCTTTTCCGCCTGGGCTGGGGGCGACCAATAACCGTTAGCTATTTGAATAGACCAATAAGATCATGAAGTTGTTTAGTCATACAATCACACGGAAGAGGGGGAAACACCTTAGCCAATCCAAAGGCGTGGAGGCGGGACCGGAGATGGGGGCGGTGAAAGAAGTTTGCTGACTAAGATGGCGACTGAGGCGCAGAGTGTAGGGGAGGTGCCAGCCCGTGATTCCCGCCCGAGGTGAGCCGAGTTCTTGGTCCAGCTGCCTAGGAAACGAGGCCGTGGGCTGGTCGTACTGACGCTTTTCCTTTGGGTCATAGTGACCCAGCGCGGCCAGGCTTTGTTCTTTCCTCCTACGGCGTTTCGCCCTTTCACGCCTGCGGTCTGGCTCAGGAGCTGAGATCCATCTTGACCTCCGCTTGGTCCCGCTGATTGGTGCGAGGTCGGCCCGTGGCCGTGGCTGCAGACCGACGGGTTGCCTTTACGCTGAGACTCATTTTGGTGGTGAGGAGACTCAAGTCCAGAGCTGTTAAGCGAATTCCCTAACGTCACACAGTGCTGGGAGAGAGCTCTGTTAGTACCTTCTAATCTGCTTCGAGGCAGTTTATTGTGTTAAAGTCGGTGCAAGGGAGTGTCCGTTAGAAATGGGTTTGAGTTCTTGGGCCAATTAAAAAAATTTTTTTTATTGTGGTTTAGAATACTTAACATGAGGCCTACCCTCTTAGCAAATTTTTAAGTGTGCAACACAGTATTGTTGACTATAGGTACAATGTTGTACAGCATTATCTCAAGAGCTTATTCATCTTGCTTAACTACAACTTCATGCCTATTAATTAGTAACTACCCATTCCCCCTTTCCTGGCCCATGGCAACCAGCATTCCACTCTTTCGTTCTATGATTTTGACTATTTTAGATAATCTCGTATCAGTGGATACCTCATATATGTAAGTGAAATCATTTGTCTTCCTGTAACTGGCTTATTTCCCTTAGCATAATGTTAGTAAGCTTCCTCCATGTCGCCTATTGTAGAATTTTTTTTAAAAGCTGAGTATTAGGGGCGCCTGGGTGGCTCAGTAGGTTAAGCGTCTGCCTTCGGCTCAGGTCATGATGCTGGCGTCCTGGGAGCCAGCCCCGCATCGGGCTCTGTGCTCAGCGGGGAGCCTGCTTCTCCTTCGCCCTCTGCCGGCCTGTCTGCCTACTTGTGATCTCTCTCTCTGTCAAATACATAAATAAAATCTTAAAAGAAAAAAAAAAGCTGAGTAATATTCCATTCTATGTATATACCACATTTCGCTATTCCATTCATCTGTCCATGGACATTAATAATCTTGGTGATTATTAATTGTGCCTCTGTGAACATGAGAGTACTAGTAATTCTTCGAGATCCTGATTTCAGTACTTTTGGATAAATACACAGAAGCAGGATTGCTAGATCATACAGTAATTCTATTTTGAAATTTTTGAGGAACCTCCTTACTATTTTCTATAGCACTTGCAGCATTCCCATCAACAGTGTACAGAGGTTCCAGTTTCTCTACATCCTCACCAACACTTGTTGCCTTTTGCTTTTGTTTTTGATGATAGCCATCCTGACAGGTGTGAGGTGATAAGGACTAAGGCAGATAGTCCTAGCCAGAGCAGTTAGGCAAGAAAAGGGATTAAAAAGGCTTCAGAATTGGAAAGGAAGAACTTAAATTGTTCCTGTTTGCAGACAACATGATCTTATATATAGAAAACCCTAAAGACTAACAGACTAACAGAACTAATAAACTTAGTAAAGTTGCAAGATATGAAATCAACATATAAAAATCAGTTGCATTTCTATATACTAACAATGAGCTATCTGAAAAGGAAATTAGGAAAACAATTCCATTTACAATAGCACCAAAAAGAATAAAATACTCAGGCCAATTTTTAAACCTCTCTTTGCTTCAATTTCTTTACCTATAAATGGACATAATGATGTCTACTCCAGAGAATGTCGGGATTAAATTAGACAGTCTTTTTAGTGCTTAGCACTGAGCCTAGCAGGTAATAACCATTCAGTACATGATAGATTTTCTTTTTCATGGTAGAACTAAAGAACAAATCAGAGGGATCTGCAGTTTAGGAAATCATAATTTTTACAGGCACACCAAAATGTAGCTTTTCCCAGAAAGAATTTCCAGATGGTCTTGCCACAGTCTTGAGACTTTACATGTCTTAACTGATTACACATATACATTAGAATTTAGTAGAGTGCGTTTATTTACATCGTCTCAGTGTAAAGTGTAAACCTTTTGGTTTGGTGTCACTTGGTGCCATTTGTATTGAATGGGAGATTCCAAGTCTTGGGAAGCTGGATTTATGAGTGGGCACTGGATTCGTTCCCTAGCTGAGATAGACATGTTTGAATGTGTTAATATCTTTTTTTTAAAAGATTTTATTTATTTATTTGATAGAGAGCACATGAGAGGGGGGAGGGTCAGAGGGCAAAGCAGACTCCCTGCCGAGCAGGGAGCCCGATGCGGGACTCGATCCAGGGACTCCAGGATCATGACCTGAGCCGAAGGCAGTCGCTCAACCACCTGAGCCACGCAGGCGCCCTGAATGTGTTAATATCTTATAGGGAAGAGTTTTTCACTCCCAGAAGTGCCTATAAATGGTTGATCATTTTTGCCTGGAAACTGTAGAGGGGATTGATAAATTCAATCAGCTCATCTCTCATCCTGCTCTAAAATCTTGAATTGTGATGAGAAGCTGAAGACAAAACATTATTCTATAGCAGGAGTAGTTTGAATTCCTTTCACGGATGTTGCCAATTGAATTTAAATTTTAAGTGCTAGTATTAATTACGTGATCAACAGGTAGTCACAGAATCTTATCTGAATTTGAAACTTTTATTAATTTCATATCATAAAAGAATTTGGGTTTCTGTAATTTTTTACAGAGGGCAGGACACATGTATATTTTTATTACATATTCCCAATGCTTAGCTTTGTGTAGATGGTCAATACTGAATGAATAATAGTCCTATCTAAGGCAAAATACTCCTTGTGGTGATAAATACCATACATATAAGTTTTTCCCTGCAGATATTAATCTTTCTAATGTTCTGTTGGTGGTGTGGCCCCTTGTATTCATTCCATAAAGAAGAGGAAAGAATTGTCTGATTTCACAGATCAGTATGTATTTGCACGTTGAATGGAGAATATGTGATCATGCTTAAGAACTAGCTTTCTGTTTCTTCATCATTATTTTAAGCCTGCTCCTAATAATTAGCAGTGCTTTAAATTGTTTTAATCAAAGAACTAAATAAGAAAAAGTTGCGGGCGCCTGGGTGGCTCAGTTGGTTAAGCGACTGCCTTTGGCTCAGGTCATGATCCTGGAGTCCCGGGATCGAGTCCCACATCAGGCTCCCTGCTTAGCAGGGAGTCTGCTTCTCCCTCTGGCCCTCCCCCGTCTTATGCTCTCTCTCTCTCTCAAATAAATAAATGTTTTAAAAAAAATAAAGCTTTAAAAAAAAAAGAAAAAGTTGCTCTGGGGGCGCTTGGGTGGCACAGTTGTGTACGTGTCTGACTCTTGGTTTCCGCTTAGGTCATGATCTCAGGGTCCTGAGATTCAGCCCTGCATCTGGCTCCATGCTCAGTGCGGGGTCTGCCTGAGATTCTCCTTTTCCCTGACCTCCTGCTTGTGTGCTCTCCCTCTCTCAAATAAATAAATCTTAAGCAAAAAAAGTGCTCTGCCTGTAAAGAATTTTCTGTTTTGACTTGTTGATGGTAAACACCTTTCCGCCTTTATTTCCGGTCTTTATCAGGTAGAGTAATGTTTTAAAATTTAACTAACTTTAATTATACCTTCAGGTTACTCTAAGTGGACAATTCTAAAAGGGAATCTACAAATAGAAGCTATCCACTTTACTAATAGCAATATAAAAATAGTTGGAAGACTCTCAAAGGCCAAAGAGAGAAAAGGCTGAAGCAGGGAAGGAGTTATAGCCACCTCCCCACATAATTGGCAGTAGGGAAATACAGCTCAGTACTTCTTGAATTGAAAAGATATATAAAAAAAGTGATAACTATTATTAGATGAAGAGGGGAAATTGATAACAAAGAGTCACAGGGAATTTCAATATTCACAGGGAAAAAAGAAACCTGCTGTGAACTAGGAAAAGCAAATGGGAAAAACAGGGTTGGAGGGAAGCAAAGCAAGCCGTGGTAGTGCTAAACGTGTCATAAGTTGTCATTTGTCATAAGTTGTAATTACTATGCCAGCAGTGCCCAAGTTTTGGGGCCCGAGCCTGCTCCTAGAACTTAGGAACAGCAGGAAGCTTAGGAACAGACTACTGGATGCTTGCATCCCATTTTGGAAATGGTTTTGGAGGATTAGGAAGGTGCCCATAGATGGAGAAAGGGTCTTATACTCTGCTAATTTACCTACACTTTAGATATGGAATATTGGTTACTAAACACAATTTCCGGGATGCCTGGGTGGTTCAGTCAGTTGAGCGGCTGCCTTTGGCTCGGGTCGTGATCCCAGGCTCCTGGGATCGAGTCCCGCATTGGGCTCCTTGCTCAGCGGAAGCCTGCTTCTCCCTCTGTCTGCTACTCCCCCTGCTTGTGCTCTCTCTCTCTCTGACAAATAAATAAAATCTTTGAAAAAAAGATTAAACACATAATTTCCTGAGGACTTTTTTGTTATATTGTTCTTTCTCTAATAAGACAGAAGTGTGACCCTTCAAGAGAAGTGATAGACGGAACCTTTACTGACCTTAGGAAGACTTGCCTCTTCTCACATGCACAAGTGGGAAAACATGATTTAAAATATCTGAATCCCGTTTTGTACTTGTGCTTTCAAATCCTATCTGAAGGGTAATGATGAATAGATTCTTCATTGGTCTTTCTTGAATCTGAATAATTTTATATTTTTATTAATTACCTGGCTTAGAGACTTTGATCATTATACTTGTAGACAGGGCTAGTCTTGGTGGAAGGAGAGGGGAAGAAGAAATAGAATTTTAAAATTTGGGCGCCTGGGTGGCTCAGTCGGTTAAGCGTCTGCCTTTGGCTCAGGTCATGAACCCAGGGTCCTGGGATCGAGTCCCAGGTCCAGCTCCCTGCTCAGAGGGGGTCTGCTTCTCTCTCTGCCCCCTCCCCCTCCCGCTTGTGCTTGCTCTCTTTTGCAAAAATAAGTAAAAAAAAAAAAATCTTTAAAATTAATCTGCATAAACTGGTAAGTGGCTTACTTTTCTTTGCCTCTAACCTTTGGTAGAGTTTGTGAAATTAACAGATGTTAAAGATGGAGGTTGCTGGTTGGTTGTGTGGTCATCAGAGAGTGGCAGTCTGTTTTTGTTGTTATAAGTACAGACACTATTTTATCCATTAGATGGGTTTGAGGAGACCCACTCCATTCAGGCTCACAAGAAGCCAATTGATAAATGCAAATTTGGTAATTTGTATGAAGAATATGCAAGTAGGTATGTCAGCTTTCCTCATTTTTTTTTTTTTTAGATTTTATTTATTTA